GAGGACTACACCGACATCTGCGCTATGGACCTAGAGGCCCTCTGCAGATTATTCTACAAGTAACAAGTAACAAAAAAATAATCTTTAGAATATATTTAGAAATGTTTTTTGGGGTTTTAATTGCTAAATGTAAAGTAAAAATGATGATTTTGAGGGTAAAAATGCTGGTTGGAAGTAGTTGGATGTATTTGCAAGTGTATTTATCCCTTTTTTCTTCAACATAAATACTCCATAAACAAGAGATAAAAGAAATAGACAATTTATGATTGGTTGACCCATTAGTCAATAATCACATGCAAATTTATCATTCAATTTGGGAGAGATGAGTTTGATACATATTCTTCAAATCTGTAAAATAGCTCTGTACATTGTGCAGTGTGCACTGTACAGTAATGCTGTTTACCTTACTAGTATTGCAGACTCTAGATTGATGGTACTGTGCTATACCATTGTACAGCGCTTGCTTCCCTGATATCATTGGTAACCATTCTTTATCCCATAACCCTCGAACTGCTTCCTGTACAGTGTACATAATATTATTAAAATATATCGCAATATGAAAAAAAGTTAAGAATTAGAGCCCCCCCCCCCNAGTTTGATCTAAGAGCCTCCTCCCCCTTAAGTTTGATCTAAGATCCCCATCCCCCTCAAGGTTCTTAAACCCCCCTTCCTCCCCCTTAAGTTTGATCTAAGTACCTCATCCCCCTTCAAGTTTGATGTAAGAACCTCCCCCTCTTCAAGTTTGATGTAAGAGACCCCTTCCCCTAAAGTTTGATCTAAAAACTCCCTCTCCCTCCCATCGAGTTTTATGGAACAAAACGCCCCCGCGCCTCATGCATTAATAATTTTTTAAGTCTGTTGTTTCGTTCATTACAGTTTCATCTTTTTTAGTTTCTTATAAAAAATCTGTATGCATTCATTCTTGGCAAGGCGCTTCCATTTGATTAGTCATATGAGTCAAATTTCGATTTTCGCTCATTTTTGTATTTTTTAAATTTCGAGTTATTTTTGACATTTTAAGAGAAAAAATATAACGCTTTTAAGAGAAGAATTATAACGCACGCGTCAAGTTTTAAATTTTTTTAATAAATATTTTGGCAAACATCCAAAAATATTTGACTTTGAAGAAATTTCGAAGTTTTTCTGCGATGCCTGGATAATTTTAGAAAAAAAACATCGAGAGATTTTTTAATGGTTTACGATATTTCCGACAAGAAATGGAATCTCAGACAGCCATTATGTATTAAGGGATTATTAAAAAAAAATAATTTACCTTCTGCATATTCTTGAGGACTTCAGCATAAAGATCGTCAGCATGCCCGGAGAGTTTAGCAACAATATTATCTTTCATCTTGTCCTAGTCATTTAATTTCTAATAATTAGAACTATATTGTCCATTGTCCAAGGAATGAATTATTACTTAAATAGTGTTTGGAGTCGATGCTAGGTAGTAGGTGGATAGGTATTTAGGTAGTTATGTAGTTTTGTGGTTAGGTAGGTAGATGGATAGGTAGTTGGGTAGTATGCAGTTAGGCAGGTTGGTAGAAAGATGTAGAGATTGGAAGTAGGGAGTTATGTAGGAGGTTTTCTATTGTAAGAGTTGTGGTTTAAAAAAGTTTTAAGTTTATTTTAGGTTGATACTTCATTGCTTATATTTTGGTATATTTTAGTTTGATAATTTTGTTGCTTATATTTTGGTATATTTTAGGTTGATAATTTTGTTGCTTATATTTTAGTATATTTTAGGTTGATAATTTTGTTGTTTATATTTTGGTATATTTTAGGTTGATAATTTTGTTGTTTATATTTTGGTATATTTTAGGTTGATAATTTTGCTGTTTATATTTTGGTATATTTTAGGTTGATAATTTTTTGTTTATTTTTTGATATATTTTAGGTTGATAATTTTTTTGTTTAATTTTTGGTATATTTTAGGTTGATAATTTTGTTGTTAATTTTTTCTGGTATATTTTAGGTGGATAATTTTTTGTTTATTTTTTGATATATTTTGGGTTGATAATTTCCAGTTTCTAGTTTAACCCATTGTAACGCATTTCTATAAGAATGTATAAATTAATATGGAGTCAAGTTTCAGTTGTACAACTTATACAAATGTTTTTAAAAATAAATTTTGTAGTTATTTTAATAAGTTTTGAGTTTGATATGTTTTGTAGTTTGATAAGTTTTGTAGTTTGATAAGTTTTGTAGTTTGATAAGTTTTGTAGTTTGATAAGTTTTGTAGTTTGATAAGTTTTGTGATGATAAGTTTTGTTTTGATAAGTTTTGTTGTTGGATAAGTTTTGTTTTAATAATTTTTGAAAAGATATGTTTTGTGGTAATAAGTTTTGTGGTGATAAGTTTTGTGACGATACGTTTTGTATGTGCTCCTTATCAATATACCTGCTCTATTGCACCAACCACCTTATCTTTCAATGCTGAAAACACACCAGCTGCAACCTTAAACAAACAATTTAAACAGACTGTAAGTGTAACTTCAAGTGACCTTCATTACAAAGATGACAATGCCTGATTCACAACAGTACCCTTAAAACCTTATTTGATCAATAGTGTGAAAGAAAAAGTTGTTTTTCTAGATTGAAACGTGAAAATTTTTAATAATTCCTATTAGTGTTCCTACAAAATAAAAATGCGCAAGTCCCTATTGTAGAGAACCCAAATTTGAAAATAATAATTTTTCGAAAAATTAGGATTGATTAATTGATATTTCATCAGAAGTTACTGTTGTGAATCAAGAATTGAAATCTTTCCCTAAATTATGCCTACAGCCCCATAAAAACAAGATATTTTTTTAATCAATTCTTGGAACGGCGCAGAGTAAAATCTCCTGAAAATGTATTGAAAACACAAACCTGCAACTTCTTGTTCGCCTTCTGTAATCCTTCTTCAGTATCAAGATTCTGGCTCTCGGCAATCTAGACAATCATATAATCAATCATTCCATCAATCAATCATTCTATCGATCGATCAATCAATCAATTAATCAATCAATCTATCGATCAATAAATTGATCAATCGATCAATCATTCTTTCAATTATTTTATCAATCACTCTATCAATTATTCTATCAATCATTCTATCAATCATTCTATCCATCATTCTATCAATCATTATAACAAACATTCTTTCCATCATTCTATCCATCAATCAATCAATCAATCCATCAATCAATCTATCCATCAACCAGCCAATCAATCAATCAACCAATCATCAAACCATCAACCAGCCAATCAAACAATCTTTCATGGATCCTTTACTTTACACGATAATTACTTTTTGATCTTTCTTACATTTATTTATTTTTAAATTCTACGATCATTCCCTTAATTAATCTATTTTCAAAAATCCCTTTACTCAAAATTACTCTATGTTTACAAATTCATCCTCATCCTTCTCTAAATTACAATTTGTAAACGATTCATCCTTCTAGAAACTACTTTTTGTTCAAACATCTCCTTACTCATGTTTATGAATCCCTCCGTTGTTCAGTAATCCATAAGAAGAGTATACACAGACAAGTTCATTAAAGAATAAAGCGAGTCATGTTAACATAAACAGTATGTTAATCATAACATATGCTTGTACTCAACACAAAATAGGGTTTTTTATTCTCTTTAAACAGTCGTTCTTCTCCCACTTATCAACCCCCCCCCCTCCAATATGTTGAAAAGGTTTAAGCGGATCAGATAATATTAACTTATAGTTAAGAGAATTGTCCAGGTAAAATAGCTTTTATGTCTGGCTATAAATCCCGAAGAGGGAATTCTTGTATTTATATCAGCTTATTTCAAGTGACCCTGACTGACAAACTGACCAATTTACAACGATAGTCTTAAAAGCTTGCTTTCACTAATCAAGTATGAATAAGACATCTATGTTTATAATTTTGAAAACTAATAATTTTCAATTATGGTTCCATTCGAAAATGAAAATATATAAACATTATCAGAATTAAACCCTTTTACACACAGATAAACGACAATATTTTAACCATAATAGATAAGATAAAGGTTTAAAGGATGCTATTGCACTTAAAATTACAGTTTCATCAAATAAATCTCTAGATGTGTTTACCTCTGTACAAAGTGCTCCGTAGTTGTAAAGAATGCAAACCTAAACAATACTTTAATTATCAACCATGAATAATGAAAATAACTAACAAAATTTATTAATTTTTATCTAACAATATATATAATTATCGACTTCAGTTACAAGGTTTGCTCTCCTGTTTTTGAAAATACATAATATGCCGGCTCTAACTAGAGATGGGCATCGTTTATGTGAACGAACGAAATGTTTGAAAACGAACGAAATTTTTCGTCATAATAAAAAAACAAACGATGGACGAACGACTTGGATTGTTCAGAGAAATGTAAAGAAAAATATAACGATTTTTAACGAATGAAAAAAAACCAACGGAATGTTTCGTTCGCATGAAAGATGAAGGAACGAAATAAAAAATCGAACGCACCCATCTCTATCTTTTTAGTGTGGGATCACAATAGCAATCGAACTAATACAAGAGTGTATTGAAGATTTTGGCCCTCACATCGGTCAGCAATATTATTTTCTTTTAGAAATCAAACCTTCTCATACGCGAGGCTTGGTATTGTGAGGCTGATCCGTCCTCCAAATATCGATCCTTCAAAACAAAAATATTTTTTTTTCTTCTCTCCCCTCCCCCACCCCCAAATGTTGTTTTTCTTCATTCCCCCACCCTTAAAAATATTTTGTCTTCTTCTCTCTCGCCACCCTTGAAAAATTTTGACAATTTTCTTCTCTCCACCGCCCTCAAAAAATTGTTTTTCATTAATATTCTTTTTCATAATGGTTTTTTCGAATCATTCCCCCCCCCCCCTCCACATTTTATTTTTGTTTAAAATTTAGAAATATTATTTGTTTCCTTTATCAAAGGCATCTTTCCATTTGAAGGGAATTTGAAGTTCCTGTAAAAGAAAAAAAGTAAAAAATATTAGAAATTAGATCTTTGAATAAGCCCCCAAGAAAATATTGGGAAATTGTGTCTTTGTTTTGTCAAAAGTAAACAATATTATAAATTGAGTTCCGAGAAAGAAAGCATGATCCTTTAAAAATAGTTCCGTCTCGTAAAGTAGTGAACTACAATGACTACAAAACAAACTTTTTTTTCAAAGTTAGCAAAATATGATTGAAAGATTAGAAGAAAATGAAGAACAAGAAATATATACATTCTCAAAATTATGTGAATAAATAACTGTAACTGATATCAGACCGGAATTGTTTTCAATTCAAGGGTATATATCTTTTTAAATGTTGATATATCTGTGAGAAGGAAAAATAAAAATTTTAAAAATCATTTATTTGATTTCTCTTTTTTTAAATCCCAGATTCGGAAATAAAGTTCTCAAAATAGTGTTATTAATAGTTTGGTATATTTTTTAGAAAAAATTCAGTAAAACATTCATTATTTCAAAACTTTATTTTGTTAAAGTTGCTTTTATTAAAATTTGCAATTTTAAAAATTGGAAAAACGATCCAACGATCCAAACACAATCATTACGCCACGGTCGTTTTTGCATAGACTAGTTTCACCTGTACAGGAATCTTCTGTTCTAAAGCTGCAAGCTGATCATAATATTTTCCAATATTCTCAACAGAACTCTCTGTCCGGTCCAAATTCCTAATAAAGAAACATTTTATTACCGTCTGACAAACATTACCGAACCATACGTCACCTACCAGTAGGATGTAAAGCTACTTAACTGTCCCTTGTGACAATTGACAGACGAAATTTCAATTAATCCTTAAATTAAAAGCTTTGCATGTACGATTTACCGGGGTGTACTTTAGTCCTCTTTCGGATAAAAAAGGGGAAGATATCATTCGGTTTTCTGCTTTTAATAGATATAAACTTTTTTGAAATTCTCCAGTTATGACTATAAATCTGAAAATCACGTTTACTAAGAACCACATTTAACATTATCAAATCTTGCATAGAATTACAAGTATACTAGTAATACTAGGTTTAAAAACTACTATCGTGAATTGGACACGGCAAATCTGATATTTCAGGAGCCAATTGAAATTACATGATCCACTATCCAGTTCCTAACAAGAGTCACAACAATACTCCATTAGTCGACCTTACCCTTCAGTAGTATTAATTGTTATTTGATTATAAAAAGAAATAAGTGGATTTTTTATTTAAAAAACGCTCTAACGACTATTACCTGACTGCTAGATATCTGAGTTTGTTCAATTCTGATAAAGCATCGGTATAGTCCTCTAAACAATAAAACATATTTCAGCATTTATGTTGCGAGGTGATTTTTATTATGAGATATATACCATAATGTTTAAGTATAGGAGCGTAGTTTATAGCAGATCTATGATTCATGAAATATAAAACATCTACTTCCTTTATCTTGCAGTTAGCTTTATTCTTGTATTTCTCTCATGTTTTCAGGAACATTTTCTTAAATCCTCTAATGAACTATCTGTCTATGTACCTGGTGCATCTGCTGTACTGTATGTACTAGTTATTGTACCTGGTTTATCTGCTGTACTATATGAACTAGCTATCTATGAACATGGTATATCTGCTGTACGGTATGTAGTATCTATCTTTGTACCTGGTTTATCTGCTGTACCGTATGTACTAAGTATCCATGAACCTGGTTTATCTGTTGTACTGTATGTACTAACTATCTATGTACCTGGTTTTTCAGCCGAGCTATATGTACTATCTTTCAATGTACCAGGTTTATCTGCTGTATTATATTTACTAGCTATCATTGTACCTAGCTTATCCGCTGTACTGTATGTACTATCTTTCTATGTACCTGGTTTATCTGCTGTACCGTATGTACTAACTATCCATGAACCTGGTTTATATGTTGTACTGTATGTACTAGCTATCTTTGTACCTGGTTTATCTGCTGTACTGTATGTACTAACTATTTATGTACCTGGTTTATCAGCTTACTGTATGTACTAACCAGTGCTTAGGATCCGGATCCGGATCCAAGCACAATTTTATTTTTCAAAATGTGCAAAACAGCGTTAATTTTCCTTAAAAATATCCTATTTTGAATTGTTTAACAGATTTTAAAAATATTCTCAGGGTCTCAGGTTTCTATCTTGCTCAAATCTTAACTCAGACCTCCACCGTGCACCCCTCCCCCACCCCCTTTAATAACTAGAGAAGGATGGGGGGGAGAAGTCTCCCTTTTCCCCATTACAACTAAGCAAATTTAGTCTTCACAAATTAAGGTGTAAGATGTAAGGATGCTAAAAAGATACAGATGCTAAGGAACATCTTGTGTTCCCAGTATAAAGAGACTGTTCTCTGCCCTGAAGATATTCAAATCAGACCAAAGGAGTTGCCTGAAGGCAGATATTCCAAACGCGGAGGTTCTACTAAAAGCTAATATGAATTAGACCTGTTTTTTTTTCATCCAATAAAGTAAAAAAAATCATTATCATTTTGTGCAAACTAGTAGAAAAATGTTAATGCAAACTAGTGTAAAAAAATGTTAAAATGTTTAATATTGTTTTTAGGTATGAAAAGATATTTGAACTAAAATAAAAAATTTTCTTGATCAATGACCTGGATCCGGATCCGGATCCATTTTTTTGAAAAGCGGATCCAGGATCCGGATCCGGATCCGCATCAAAATTAAATGGATCCTAAGCACTGGACTAACTATCCATGAACCTGGTTTATCGTACTATATATACTAGCTGTCTATGTACCTGGTTTATCTGCCGTGCTGTATGTACTAGCTATTTATGTACCTGGTTTATCAGCTTACTGTATGTACTAACTATCCATGAACCTGGTTTATCGTACTGTATGTACTAGCTATCTATGTACCTGTTTTATCTGCCGTGCTGTATGTACTAGCTATCATTGTACCTGGTTTATCTGCTGTAATGTGAGTACTAACTATCCATGAACCTGGTTCATCTGTTGTACTGTATGTACTAGCTATCTATGTACCTGGTTTTTCAGCCGTACTGTATGTACTATCTTTCAATGTATCAGGTTTATCTGCTGTATTGTATGTACTAGCTATCATTGTACTTAGCTTATCCGCTGTACTGTATAAACTAGCTAACTATGTACCTGGTTTATCTGCCGTACTGTAAGTACTAGCTATCTATGTACCTGGTTTAACTGGTGTACTCTATGTACTACCTATCCTATGTACCTGGTTTATCTGCTGTACTGTATGTACTAGCTATTAGATTCTTCAGAGGTTTAATAATATCTACATCGGAACCCCTTTTTAAGGGAACAAAAAGTAACTCGGTCATTTGATCTGAAAAATAATAACTTATTGAAAATCAGCTCAATCTTTTTAAAACCTCACATTTTCGGAACAATTTGGACAAGCTAAGAAGCCTAGTAGTACGATCGAGTGGTAATTTCCTAGAGAACGCTTTTTGGACCACTGCACTCCTAACAATTAAGTGCATGAGCTCATATTTGTTAAACGAGGTCAAAGTTGCAGCGTGGGGCCCCTTATATGTCCTAGTCAGTTCTCGATCCAGGAATTGTCTATACCTAAGTCAAGGGGCCTAAGCGCCCGGCCCCTTAGCCTGTCCTAGCCGCGGCGCTCGGCCGAGAAAGAGTCTTAACCTAACCTAACCCTAAATAATAATAATTAAGTACTAATTTGGTCATGTAAAAAACTGATAGGGTAATTTCCTAGTATACGATTTTTGGACCCCCCCCTCCTATCAATTTTGTACATGGGTGTGACAGGAAGTTTAAGGTGCGCGAAAAAAAAACATCAAGTAACCCCACTTAGTTGTTCACTCAATCTTTGTCAATAATAATAACGAGACGTCAAATATTTTATAAAAATCCTCGCGTGGAAATAAATATGATGCAACCCGAACAAAGATAGTTTTGTAAAATATGACAATCCTTTTTCTTTCTGCAGAATTGTGACTCATTTTGGTTCCCTCTTTACTATGCGCTTACTGGCTTAGAAATGCCGCAGACCGTGTTTTCCTGTTTCGAAAGTGTTATCAATCAACTAAGCAACTCTTCTTTATTAAAGTGTCGTATCAACTGAACTACTGCCCTTTGTATAATTAGTATTAAATTGTACCATTGTCGTAGTTATCCAGGGTGGTGTATTTTTCGACCTACACATATCCGCCATACTCCACTTCTGACCTACACCAAATCCGCTATACTACACATCCGACCTACTAGCACGTGGTATTACAGCTGCTATATGGACTTGTGGCCGCAGCGCCCGGCCCCCTAGCCTGTCCTAGCCGCGGCGCTCGGCCCCCTAGCCTGTCCTAGCCGCAGCGCTCGGCCCAGAAAGTGTCTTAACCTAACCTAACCCTCAAATAATACTAAAATAAACAGCTGGCGTAGGTCCGATACTGTAGTAGGTCGGAAAGTTAGTATAGGTCAGAAGTTCAGTAGGGGGGATGTTGCGTATAGACGATGTAACATTACCGTTATCCATGGCCTTTTTCTCCTGAGGGGGGGGGGGGGCGCAGAAAGACAGAAGGGAAAAAAATTAAAGAGAAGAAAAAAATGAAAAGCATATTGAAACGAAAATTGAAATTGTACATGCATGGAAGACAGGCAAAAATTCTAATTTTTTAGGATAGGGTTTTAAATCAACTTTTACATTTTGAGAAACCTATTCTTTCAGAGGCGTTGTTGTACAATGAAATTTGTGCCTATAGTATGATTCTTTTATGGGGGTTGATTCTTTTATGGGCCCTAGAAACCAGCGACGTCGCACGACCAGTCCCGGATTAGGTCAAGATAGGTCAGATTAGGTCGGGTTACGTCAGATTACCAAATTGGTCGCAATATGACCAGTCCCTTTAGGTCGTGTTAGGTCGTGTTAGGTCGCGTTACGTCAGATTACCAAACTGGTCAGTTAACATGACCTGTCCCCCTAGGTTGTGTTTGGGTCAAGTTAGGTCGGGTTAGGTCAAATAACCTAACTGGTCTGATACTGGTCTTAACCTGACCAATCCACTTAAGTTGGATTTGGTCGAGATTGGTTGAGTTATGTCAGGAGACCTAACTGGTCGGAACATGACCAGTCCTTCTAGGTCATGTTTGGTCAGGTTAGGTCGGATTAGGTGGAGTTACCTAACTGGTCTCATACTGGTCTTAACCTAACAAATCAACTTAGGTCGGATTTAGACAAGATTGGTTGAGTTATGTCAGGAGACCTAACTGGTCGGAACATGACCAGTCACCCTAGGTCGTGTTTGGTCAGTGTAGGTCGGGTTAGGTAAAATAACCTAACTTGTCTGATACTGGTCTTAACCTGACTAATCCACTTAGGTCGGATTTGGTCAAGATTGGTTGAGTTATGTCAGGAGACCTAACTGGTCGGAACATGACCAGTCACCCTAGGTCTTGTTTGGTCAGGTTAGGTCGGGTTAGGTTGAGTTACCTAACTGGTCTCATACTGGTCTTAACCTGACCAATCAACTT